AACTCATATAACCCAGGCTGGCCTCAGCTCACAGAGATCCTCCTGCTTCAGCCTCCTGAGTGTTGGGATTACACCTGCCACCATGCCTGGCTCTATGCTTGTTTTTTTTTTTTAACTGTGTTTCATGAAACACTTTCCCCACTGTCCTTTGACGCTATATTCTTTTTGTGTGTGTGTGTGTGTGTCTTTTTGAGACAGGGTCTTACTATGCAGTTGAGGCTGGCCTTGAGCTCGCTTTGTAGCCCAGGCTGGTCTCAAACACACAAAGATCCTCCTGCCTCAGCCTCCCAAGTGCTAGGATTACAGGTGTGGGCCACCATGCCCAGCCATCACTATATTCTTTCTTTCCTCCTGTAGTACTAAGAATTGAACTCAGGGTGTACTGAAGGTACTGAGGGTATGGAGTTACACCTCAGCCGTTTTTTATTTTTTATTTTGCTTTTTTGTTTGTTTGGTACCGGGAATCAAACTCAGGACTTGCACTTGCCAGGGAGGTGCTGTTTATTTTTTATTTAGAGGCTCTCATTAATTGCCCATACTGGACTCAAATTTGTGGCCCTCCTGCCTCAGCCTCCCAGAGTGCTGGGGCTACACATGTGTACCTCTAAGACTGGCTTCATTTAATTTTTGAGACTGGGTCTTGCTATGTTTCTATATTCATCTATTGTCTTCCTCCCATTTAGACCGGGCTGTACTGCTGGTACTTAACTAGAATTTAGATACTTAATAAATATCTTGTCGAATGAATGAATGAAAACACATTGGTAAAGAACAGGCTGCAGTTTCATTCCATCATCCTCCATTTTTCTGACACGCTCTCTAAGAGTACACTCTCTTCCGGGAAGTTGTCAGGACTGAGTGCTTAGTAAATACTAGCTATTGTTAATTTTAAAAAAACCTCACTGAGGGGCTGGGGATTTAGCTCAGTGGCAAAAGCGCCTGCCTGGCAAGCGCAAGGTCGTGAGTTCGGTTCCCGGTACCGGAGAAAAACGGAAAAAAAAAAAAACCTCACTGATCTGTAAAGGAACCTGAGTGTTACAGCTCAAAGGACAAGTGGAATTCAGTAATAACAATCTAGTTAGCTTATTTTTTGAAAGTTTATAGTTTTGTTTTGTTTTTTGGTACTGGGGAGTGAACCCAGGGCCTTCACACTGAGCTACAGTGCAAGGTTTTTTTGGTTTGGGTTGGGTTTTTGTTTTGTTTTGGTTTGGTTTGGTTTGGTTTGGCTTGGTTTGGTGTGGTTTGGTTTTGAGACTGGCCTTCACTAAATTGCCCAGGCTGTGCTCGAGCTCCTGACCCTTCTACCTTAGCCTCTCCGAGTGCTGGGATTACAAGCATGTGCCACTGCCACGCCTGGCTAAATCTCTCCTTTAAATTCCTTTAGGAAAACAGCTGGGCATGGTGCACACTTGTAATTTTCCAGCCCTCACGAGGTTGAGAACAGAGGATCCTGAGTCCAAGTCCAGGCTGAGCTATAAGCAAGATCCTTTCAAAAACAAAAATTGCTTTTTTGTTTTTTGTTCTTCCTCATTAGTTTGTACCAGCCCTTCAGGTCCCAGAGCGGCCAAGTGAGGCTTCAGAATGGGAGCAGACTGGATCCAGCTTCAGTTAACATGCTACCAATTATTTGATAGCAGGCATATTGTATATTGACCAGGCACGGCTTAAGTGAGGGCAGAAGTTCTGGGGGAAAGCTGCTGTTGTACAAGAGTTGATTGGCCTTCTCTTCGGGAAAATCCAGCACAGCACCGCAGTGTAGGACCACCGCCCACAGGAGATAGCTGCATCTTGAGCATGTCGGAGGCCAGCTCAGAGCCAACCACGGCCCGGCACAGGGCTCCACCAGACGTTCCAATTAAAGAACACTAAGGGTGCTTGGGTCTACACCAGCGACAGGTGTGGGCTTGTCCAGGGCAACTTCAGCTGGTCATCTTCAGGCCACCTCATGCTGTTTCTTCCTCCCTCATCTTCCTGACCCCGTCACGCTCCTCTGGCTGCTCCAAATGTCACACACAAGCAGTGGAGCCACCAAAGTGTTGTGCACAAGGACCTTTGGATGCTCGACAAGTTGTGTCTGACAGAAGTGTGCGCTATACCAGCACAGGCTTTATTTTTTTTT